ATGACTGCCACGTGCGGAAGATGGGCAGGAAATCAGCCAACTACTCAGCATGCTATCGTGTATATCGGGCTCGTGGACAGTGATTAATTTAGTAGGCCTACATATTAATCGGTGCAAAAAAATGTGGTTTGGTGTAAGAAGCCCGTCACGATCGATGCACTTTTTATTTGTGAAAACGTATGGTTAATTATTAGGGATTCCCTTGATTTATTTTAGGGGAGACCGGGGCTAGTTAGACCCCGGGGTATATGTAAGTTGGCCCCCCATAAATTTATGAAAAAATAACTACGAGGTAAAAAAAATGGCCACATGCTCTTGTAAAGTGACCGTAGCCTACAATGCTAAGGAAGTGTCGGACGTTAAAAAGTTTAACTTTAGCTGTGAGTTGAAATAAACGATTTTTGCACCTAAAAGTAAATTTGTTTAAGAGATTTAAAAATCTATTTTCATAGATTTCAAAAATCACATCTCAAAAATCAATATAATAAATCAAAAGTGTTTACAAATGTATTTCGAGGCGTTTACATGGGATACTTACTTGATTTTCGTATAGGGGGCCAACTTGCCCCGACCCAGGGGCCAACCTGTTTTATGGAGATCTGTAAGGACATGTTATTTGTGTGGTTTACAGGGGTTGAAATTTGGCAAAATGCGAGGACCGGGAGTCGAACCCGGATCGACTGCTTGGAAGGCAACCATGCTAACCGTTACACCATCCACGCACGTTGACACATATTTCCTCATGCCCAACTCCCACATAAGTGGTTGTCGTATTTATTTCTTCGTTTCAATAAGAATCGTCTTGTAAGACACTTTGAGTTCATTTAGACCCTTAAATTATGCATTTCATCTGCGTGCACACAGAATTCAAAGGAAAAAAATAATGAAAAGTTAAGTCTGGATTATTCATTGGACCATCTTTTTTCGTAAAAATTTACAAAACGGTTTTCACATTGTTTTATATAGTCAAATAAAACATTTACCTCAGCTATCAATCTTCAAACCATGGATCCCGCGTATAAGAAATAAAAGGTGACTTACATCAAATGGATGTCTTTGAGGCAGTGCATAATGATATAGGAGATATTTTTGCATTTACTTGAAGTTAAAGGCAATATAAACTTTTTAAAAAGACAAAAAACAAAGGCCGCTTCGTGGATATTCAATCAATATTGGGCGATATTCATTCAGATCAGCTTATTTGCAAGGCTCTTCCATGATTTCACTTAAATGCTTACTATGTAAAATCCCATTAATCTGTTTCGAATTATTATATCTAGTCGTCTAATTGTTTAAGTAAGCCGTCAAGGCGTCTGTATCCATGAATTAGGACTAAGATAGATTTTGATCAAACTGTTCTGAACGGGACCTCAGTCGAGCGTGAGCGGATTTTCCAACCGACTCGACTTGTCCGTGGCGCCCGGATAGCTCAGTCGGTAGAGCATCAGACTTTTACGGATGACTAAGTTATCTGAGGGTCCAGGGTTCGAGTCCCTGTTCGGGCGATTCTCACCTTTTTTCCTTTTGTTAAATCGGTCAATAATACCACAGGTGTAACGTGACAGAGATTCCCCCAAGATAGAGAGTCCCTTTCCCATTCATTTGTACAGGTATACGAGATTTTGAACCATTTTGGCAAGCCCTGACCATTATAACTACATGATGGGCGGACTTCCAGTTTCTTTAAACCGGTGAAACAGGAATGGAAGTCCGCTAGGAACTGTAGTCCGCTTCCTATTACTTTGTACAGGTGCCATTCGTCCCATATTCTAACCCCAATACCCCAAATAACCCTTATCTGTACTAATCATATGGCACCCCGGACTTCCATTCCTAGGACTATCATTCCTGTCTCTCCGGCATCGAACGCATTGAGGAAAAATTAAAGGAACTCTTCACGTGTTAGAAAATTATCCTCTGTCATATATTTGTCCTGATAAGCTTATTTTATTTGCTTATTTAAAGAGTAAAGACGACAAAACAACTAAAATAATATTTATCTGAAGCGTATCTAGTGTCGTTATCATCTTTTCAGCCTTGTCTGGTAGCAACGTCAGCTCTGTATTTTTACACGAAACAGGGTTGCGGCAGCAAAACACCGTGCCATCTTGTGTTATGAAGTGAAAACTATATGATCAGGGCCATAAGTTAATTTTTTAATTCGTGGATGCATAAAGAAAAATAAAGGGATAACAACTCTTCGTAAGAGAACTATATTTCACAATAAATTCATTGTAAACGACCCATAGAAATATAATATATTCTATTTAACCACAAAAATGGCAGTTACAGTAATTATACTGGAAATTGTGCTTATCATTGGACCACGTGACCTCCATAGATGGTTATATTATAATATCTTTACCCGAGGAAAATTGATTTTTTGGCCAAAACGAACAGTTGTTATCCCTTTAATGGGGCATTCAGAAGATATTGAAGAGTTCTGGACTGGACCCCGGATCGACTGCTTTAGAGACAGTCAAGCTAACCGTTACACCAGCCTTGTCGTATACATGTATGTTTTTTAATGTAATATATTTAACAAAGAATAACATTATGCATCTATTAAACACTGGAATACTTATTTTTGTTAAAGAATGTTAAAGATTCTAGTCACCGAATATTCAGCCCTATTTTATGGAGATGTTATTTGTGTGGTTTACAGGGGTTGAAATTTGGCAAAATGCGAGGACCGGGAGACGAACCATGCTAACCGTTACACCATCCACGCACGTTTGGTTACGGCAGAGACTTAGGCCAAAATCCCAGATGAGTGGTTGCCGTATTTTATTTTTAATCGTTTCAGTGATAATCGTTCTTTAAGACATTTTGAAAACACTTACAAAAAGTTATTTATTTCAACCGCCGTCCACAGAATGCAAAAGAAATAAAATGTAAATGAAGTTCAGTCTGATAAATAAAAAGAAACTATCCTTTTTCGTAAAAGTTCATTTTGCAACAAATGCATGTCTTCAAGGCAGTGCATATTGCATGAGACGTAACTTGTGTGGTTTAAGCACGGGTTGAAAATTGGCAAAATGCGAGGACCGGGAGTCGAACCCGGATCGACTGCTTGGAAGGCAACCATGCTAACCGTTACACCATCCACGCCTGTTTACACATATTTTATCATGCCCAACTCCCTCATGAGTGGTTGTCGTATTTATTTCTTCGTTTCAATAAGAATCGTCTTGTAAGACACTTGGGGTGCATTTACACCCTTAAATTAGTCATTTCACCCGCGTGCACACAGTATTCAAAGGAAAAAATAATGAAAAGTTAAGTCTGGATTATTCATTGGACAATCCTTTTTTGAAAAAAAAATTACAAAACGGTTTCATTTTGTTTGAGTCAAAGAAAACATAAATCTCAGCTAACAATCTCCAAACCATGGATCTCGCGTTTACGAACTAAAAATTGACTTTGACACAAATGGATGTCTTTGAGGCAGTGCATAATGATGTAGGAGATATTTTTACATTAACTTGAAGTTAAAGGCGATGAAATAAACTTTTTTTTAAAAGACAAAAATAACATAGGCTGCTTCACCGATATCCAATCAATATTAAGCGACATTCATTCACATCTGCTCATTTGCAAGACTCTTGCATGATTTCACTTAAATACTTATCATGGAAAGTCCCATTAATCTGTTTCGTTTTTTTATATCTAGTCGTCTAATTTTTAAAGTAAGCCATCAAATCGTTTGTATCCAGGAATAAGGGCTAAGTCGATTCTTAATCAAACCGTTCTGAACGCGACCCCAGTCGAGAGTGAGCGGATTTTTCAACCGACCCTTATTGTCCGTGGCGCCCGGATAGCTCAGTCGGTAGAGCATCAGACTTTTAGGGATAACTAAGTTATCTGAGGGTCCAGGGTTCGAGTCCCTGTTTGGGCGATTTATCATTTTTCTTTTTGTTATATCAATCAGTAATTCCATCGGTATCGACAGAAGATTAAAGGTACTCTTTGCAGGTTAGAAAAACTCCCCACTCGCATATACTTTCCGTGAAAAGCATCTTACATTTTATAATTTAGACCACGATTAAAACGATGAAAGCCCTTACATAAATTGTTACCTGGAGCGTATCTATTGTCGTCATCTTCTTTCTAGCCTTGTCTGGTAATCATGACAGTTCGCAGCGTCTGTGTTTTTCACGAAATAAGGTTGCGGTAGCAAGACGCCGCGTCATCTTATACAGGCATAAAGTGAAAACTACATGTAGTCTATGGTCAGGGTCATAAATTAAAATTTTGGGTTGACGGATGCGAAATAAAAATTGATAAGGAGCTCAGAAGATACAGAAGAGTCCAAAATAAACGTTCAAAATGTGAAATATTAAAATCATTATAATACCGTGTAAATTATGAAGATAGATTGCTACCCCCATTACGTCACTATTCTGTTCATCGTCCCCCCAGGGCACTGTAGTCATTTTTAAAATTGTCAAGATTCGCTATTGCAGTGTCTGTTTTAGGGGATGGAGCTGAATCGATTTCTTGTTCAAACCATTTTGGATCCAACCCCGAATCGACTGCTTAACAGGCAGTTATGCTAACCGTGCCATTTTAAAATTTTTTAGATGTTTTTAGGTTAATGAGAAATTCGATTATGTTTTGTAATCTTCTGTTCATTCTGGAATTTGTTTTTGTCACAGAATGTGAAAGATTAAAAATATAGAGTCACCGATTTTTTATAATTTGGTTCCTAATGATACGAAATATGTTGGGTTTGAACACGGGTTGAATTTTGGCAAAATGCGAGGACCGGGAGTCGAACCCGGATCGACTGCTTGGAAGGCAACCATGCTAACCGTTACACCATCCACGCCTGATATAATTAATGGGACTTAAGCCAATGTCCCACTTTCAACTGGTTGCCATATCTTATTTATTTCAAAGATAATCATCTTTTCAGATTTTTTATAGACCATTATTAAATTTTGTCATTTTCATGTGCGTGTACATAGCATTCAAAAGAAAGATAAAGAAAAGTTAAGTATGATTAATAAATGGGACCATTATTTTTCGTAAAATTTTACAAAATTGGCTTCATATTGTTTGAGTTGAAGAAAACTTACATCCCAGAAAACCACTCTCCCAATCATAGTATAAAATACCAAAATGACAAAATATTACTTGATTTTGCAATAAATGCATATCTTTAAGGCAGTGCATATTGATATAAGAGATAGTTTGGCCATTGCTTGCAATTAAAGCCAATGAAATAAACATTGAGAAAGATTAAAAAAATTAGATCGCTTCGCAGATATTCGAAACGCAATCTATATTAAGTCGACATTCATTTCGGCTCATTTGCAAGAATTCACTTCAGTACTAAATATGTAAAATCCCATCAATCTGTATCGACCGTATTTTATCTCAACAAGTGCCTTAAACACAAACGAACAGTCTGATATAAGGCAGTAATACTACAACCTTTCGACAACACGACGTAGTATAAAGGAAGTCAATTCTCTTGACAAAAGTAGATAGAAAAAAATATCAAAAATATGAAAAGAGATAAAACTCCAAGGAATGTTAATTGAGGATAACGTCGCCTAAAATATGACATTCTATACTAGCACTAGTGTCATATTATGTAATGTAAACACTTAGGTAATAGCAGACGTATGGGACTATTATTGTAAGGCAGAGGTTTGAGATACATAGTTGCAATGTTGTAGCTGTTGATGGTGGCGGTGTTGTCACTATGTTGTATACGCCGTCTTCCCCTTTGTAGTCTACTCCGCCAGCTAAAACGAGATAAAATATAAGGTTAATTGCAATTGCTTAGAGATGTATCAGATGTATAATAAATATATACATGTATATGTCAATCTATTAAATTTGAATAAGTAATGTTTTGCTCAATTCATTAAGTCATATTAAAGTATGTAGGCGTGTCTGCGTGTACGCGTGTACGTGCGCGAGGAAGAGAGATATAGAAATATAATTGAAAGGTAGTTTGGGTTGAATATTCTGGAATCGTACCTGGACAAATGTTACACATATTAGGGCAATACTCTGCGACATTTGCAAAGTTCCTGCAATCTGTCTTGGTAAACGGCCCGCCGGTTGTGGCGCATGCGTAAGTATTATCTCTGCTCTGGCTACAGTTAACTAAGACATAAAATGAATTTTTAAAAATCAACTTTGGCATTACTATAACAAAACTAAATCTTAGATGTCTCTTAAAAGACATAGACTGTACTGTTTAAATACAAGTATGTATATTTCTGAAAATGCTACGTTATATCTCTGAGAAGTTTTCTTTAAGTAAAAATGGCAATGTTCCAGTTTTCTACTTTGATCTAAAAATTTGAAAATCTTTTTTAAAAAAATTTTACAACTAAAAAACATTTACTGCGCACCTTTCAGTTTTGTTAATCGAAATTCATACTCACGGTCGCAGAGGTCGCCAAAGAATCCCATGGCTGTACTGGGACACGAACATTTACATGTGCTGAGGTCCAACGTCCCTCCGTTATGACATACTTTTCCCAAGCAATCTAAATGTTGAAAGAAATTGTCATTATTTCATGTAAACAGGGAACTTTATCGCAGGCGATACAATTCCCTGATGTAAATTAAGATGATTGATTGATTGCGACCCCCGTAATGCCACCCTTCTGTTCCAACGTGATGTAGTTATTTAATAAAATAAGAAAATATTAGATACCCGTCAATGTAAATTTTAAAATCTGACCGTCTTCCGGAAGACCCAGAAGACGGCCTAAATCCGCCCCTGTATTAAATTGTTAAACTATAAGCTATCAAAGCTCTGTATCCATGAATGAGGGATGAAATGCATTTGTTGAGACCGTTCTGAATGCGACCCTAGTCGAGCGTGAGCGGATTTTTCAACCGACCCCAACCGTCAGCGGCGCCCGGATAGCTCAGTCGGTAGAGCATCAGACTTTTAGGGATAACCAAGTTATCTGAGGGTCCAGGGTTCGAGTCCCTGTTCGGGCGATCTTTACCTTTTTCCTTTTGTTATATTAGTTAGTAATTCTATCGGCATCGAGGGGAAAATTAAAGGCACTCTTTACGGGTCAGAAAAATATCACACTGTCATATACTTGCCCTGAAAAGCTTCTTTGTTTGGGCGATTCACACCTTTTTATCTATTTTGTTAAATCGGCCAGCTTCGTTACACAGGTTAGTTCAGGTGACATGCGTCCCATAGTCTAACCCCAATACCCCAACTAACCCTAACCTGTACTAATCATATGGGAGCCCAGACTTCCATTCCAAGGACTACCATTCCTGTCACACCGCATCGAACGCAATGAGGTTACTTAAGTCAAGGTATGTGTCACTTTGACTCATACGTTAAAAATGTCAAGAACCACCCATATTTTTTGTTTTCGAATGCGTATTGAAAAAAATTGATAAAGAACTCAAAAGGGCACGGGACGGTAATGACTAGACTCAAAGGGCAAAAATGATCAGACTATATTTTATAATTTTATAATCACAGAAAATCCTATACAGCGTTTAAGGTGCTTTTACTGCATACAACAGAACTGTTGTCTGCTTTTTAATACAGTGGAATGAATTTAAGAAAGTATGACTTTAAAAATAATCTCCGTAAAATTCGCAAATTTCCCCTTTGAAAAGAACGAGTAATTACCGTATATGCAAAAGTTTGAAAATATTATAATCTTGTGTGAATTTGGACAGTAAATATACCGGTTTCGAACACGCTGAGGGAAACTTTTCGAGCTTAGAATTACCTTTTTTCTCGTATTAGTAAAGTATTGGTAATTTGATAAATACGTAATCGACAATTGGACATCTCCATTTCTGTGTTCTTAAAAGATTGATATGAAAGGCTATAATAATAAACGTGTGAATTATAAGAAATGAGTCAGAAAGATTCAAGACAGAAAAAAAAAAACTCACCACACAGCCCGTTTTGACAGTTATCTGGACACGCTTCACACCTGTTGTTTCCCTCTCTATACGGTTTGTACCTGGCGTTGGGGTCAGAGGGCGTTCCTATATTTCCTCTGGAAATATAAAAGTCAGAAATTAATACGTGATTTCACAGTTCTTTCCACATTTGTAGCTGTTACACAATTGACCGAAGGTGCTTTTAAACTGGTAATGTAGAAGTAAGAAATAAAAACGTGCTTTCATATCGCGCTCCTTCTAAAGGTCCCTCTAGCTGTTACATAATCGGTTGAATATTTTTAAACAGATTCTGTAGCTGCTAAAACAGCTAGAAGGCTTATGGAAATGAATGCTTTCACAGTCATACACTTGAAATGATGACTTATGTCATTTATTATTTATACATATTGCACAGAACAAACTGAATTTCATCCCTTTTTTATATTCATACACTTGATCAATTTATTATTGTCATAGAAACTAATCTCCAATATTTCTTATTTCCATTGTAAGTAACTAATATTGGCATTAGAAATAGTTTGGCTTATATATAATATGAAGGAAGTGGAAATATGCTATTTCCCGACAATTTCTTGTGATAATTTGGTGGTAATCTCATCCCTTTCCTGGCAGCTAACGTTTTATTAATGGGTGCAAATGATCGTCATTTGTAGGAACTAACACATCGATATAATTGTGATAAAAATGGCTTAAATCAATACGTCGTCAATCTTTTTGCCAGATTTAGGTTCGACAAAGTTGACGCATGAAAATATGTGATTTTGAGAGAAAAAAAAGCCTGTTTCTGGATTGACTGTAATGCCATTGAGGTGTAACAATCGGGAAACCCCGCAATAAGCCAAAGATATAGTACGGGTATCTACATAAAAGTTAGGGGCACTCGATCCTCTTACCATACAATATATGGTATGTTTACGTGTGAAATAAAAACTATTGCGAGGACCGGGAGTCTAACACTAGCTGTCCACTCCTATTTCAATCATTTAACTGTCCCCGCTTAATAGCCTATGATATTCTTCTGTTCTAACCTAATTGAATTTTGTTTTTGTCTCATTTCAATACAGAAGCACATCACTATTTGACTGCATAGCCTTCTTATTATTTGGTCTTCATTTATTAATCTATTGAGTCATTATTTTGGGAAGGTGTTGAAAAATTTTATTTCCGGTGTTTGAACAGGTTAAATTTTGGCAAAATGCGAGGACCGGGAGTCGAACCCGGATCGACTGCTTGGAAGGCAACCATGCTAACCGTTACACCATCCACGCCTGACGCCATCAAGTGTTCATACAGGTTTAATTGGTAATAATATTTTTGCTTATTTGTCTACTGTTCCTAACTAAATGAAATTGTTTATAGTCAATTATTGCTGAATGTTTTTGATTTGAATACACTGCTCATCGCTTATTAAACCATGGAGTAATTATATTTAAGGAAGGGGCGCACAAAATGAATTCTTCTGCCCTCTACCAGGGTGGCAGATATAGGCAAATTCTCTAAAAGCCAGAGAATCAAATGACTGTCTATTTTAAGACATATCTGTGAATATCTTGTCAAAAATCAATCTGTCGCCGTAGCAGAGGGTAAAATTCTATTGTGCTTTACTACTAGGACCGGGAGTCAAAACCAGATTAACTGATGGGAAGACAGCCATGCTAACCGTTACACGGCAATAATACAGCGATCTTTAGGTCAAAATCTCATATGAAATACTCATTCCAAACGGTACGAATGTCGTGAACCGTTCTTTCAAATCAATGACAGATAGGATAAAGAATGTAATTTACTACATGTACTTCGTGTACAGATCTTCACTTCTGCGTGCAACAAACATCAAATCGATAGCTTTTGCACATTTCCTTGATTGGATGCGACAGTGCAATGTTTCAAGTGAAACCTTGAATAGGAGCTTTCGTCTTCTTGATCGTTATTTTCTTTCCTGTATCTCAAGCATATCACTTTTAATTTTGGCGTGTTATCAAAATTGTAAAAAAGAGGAAAAATATAAGTTAAAAGATAAGAAAAACTTTAACTATGTACCAACGTTAACTATGTACCAATTTTCATAGAAGCAAAGCTTTACTTACACTTGGGCATAATCACAAACAAACGTCCTTGTAACGCCGCACATTGCAAAACCGCATCCGATCTTTGCCGACGTCGCCCATGCCATCTGAAACAAATACGGTGAACATGTATTAAAATAGGTGTAGTGTTTGATGGTTTAGCAAATAATTTTCAATTATCCCTATTTTAAGCAGGACATATGACCATATGGTTTGACAAACATATAGCAAAACGTCCAGCGGGTGTCATATGAAATCAAAAGCACAAAATACTCTAGAGTTTAAGTCAAATTAGACATATTATATGAACATCAGTATTACTGAGAAATCAGAAAGGCAACTTCCATACGAGCCAAAAATAGTTTTTACCCAACAGCAACACGTATTTTTAATGAACATATCGATTTCATTTTATTTTATTGAATCTTATCTAGAGATCATATTAATTTTCATTTTATTCTTTTACTGTATAAACATGACAATAAATAAATAATTTTTTAATGAGTATAATCCATTTTGGATGGTTATACCTGAGTGTAATGACCGATGGCCTTTCCATTAATAGAACCAAATCCGTATTTGAAGTCCTTCAACTCGCCCCACCACGCTTTTAGCACCCCACTCCAAGACGTGTAACCCCACGCCACGTTCTGGCCCAGGCGGTTGAATCTACCTGGAAAACATGGGAAACATAATTATGGCATTTTGGTACCCTCTACCAGGGCCGCAATTATTATTATTATGTGGACATTTTTGCCGAGTACAGAAAATAACCGTGAATTTAACCAGAGACATATTTGTGAATATTTAGTGAAAATTCAATCTGTGGCCCTGTTAGAGGGTAGTATTTTCAAATTGGTACTCTCTGCCAGGGACACAGATTTACTTTTTTCACTAGACATTTACAGGTATGTCTCTGGCTTATTTATGACACGATTCTCTGCTCTAGCGCTGATGAAAAATGCACATAATCAATATGGTAGAGTGCAGTATTTTGAAAACTGGAAATTTATATAACCTATATTCCTCTCTCCCCCTATCCCCCCTCCTCTACCACAAAATATTGAATGATTTTATCTCTTTAGACAGAAAGTTTAGTGAACTATAAAGCAATACACCTAGGCCCGATAAAAATATCTCGAAGTTAATCCCCAAGTTCGGTTTCCAGGCGTTATTACGGTTTAGTTCCTACCTGGAATGCTCCTTAGAACGCCGTCCTCATGTGGGTTACTGTATGTGGGGCATGTGTCGGCCCACCTCTGTGCTAGCAACGCCACCTCATCATCCCAGTACTAGATGATAAAACAATAGGTGATATATATATATATATTAGTGCTCGTTAACTTAACGTTGTGCTTGTTAATATGAGGTGGGGTTCGTTAATATTGGTGTTTGCGCTCGGGAATCTGAGGCTCGTGCTAGGAAACGCCTAATCCTAGGCCTGCAGATGTTTAATCCACCTACGTCAGAGTGATACTTCAGGATTCAGAATCTATATCATGCATGTTAATTTGGGTCTTAGTCATTATAATACGTACTTATACCAAAAATATTTATATACCACTTTTAAATTTCACTGCTCAGACTAAACGTACCATTTTTTGCATGTTTGCTGCGAGGTATCGAGTTTTGCTGCGAAACTCGTTGTGTAGGTTCACTATCTCTCTCTTTTCTGAATAGGACACACCTGTAAGTGAAGACAATAAATCATAATCAAAATCAATAATGTGATAAAAAAAGTAAAAAGTATGGATTTTCCAATAATTATATGTCTTCTTGTCCCTAGTTTCATATGCAAAGCGTGCCAAATTTTCAGTGCATTCTACATGCAGGCAAAATATCTGCCTACTGTATTTTGAAATACAGTAAATATTAAAATACCGCAAATATCGCACATGTGCCTTAAAGAGCTCGGGGTAATAAGTTTGTCCCCAAGAGTATATTTTATACTATAATATTTCTGAATGTCACTTGCTGACATAAGTGGAAGTAAAATTGGATGGAGTAAAACAACAGAAACCGTGAACCTCAAAAGAAAAATAGTATAGGGTGAAAATAGGAACGTATATAGGTGGTTGCAGGATTTCGGCGATTATAAACGTTCTCCTTACAATCCCACCATTCCCTAAAACCCCTTACACTGGACGGCGTTCTTTCTGCGTCCTTTGTGGGACCATGAAACTGGCATCGCTGTGGTCGTAGAAAGAAAGAACAAGCAGCACTTTGGTTGCAAAATGAATGCCCATTGATCGGTCAGTTGTCGGCATGTAAAGTATTATTTTTTTACTTTCAAACGGTGCCGTACTACGGGACGCAGAGAGGACGCCGTCCAGTGTAAAATGGGCTAAATTATTCATCTGTTTGTGATACTATTAAGCGTAAACTGCGGCTTTGCGTAATGTTTGAAAAGAAATCAAGACCTACCTGAAATCGCCAGGTGGACGTCCTGAGAGGGTTCCAAGCAAGCCGTGTGTCCGGGAAAGACCTTGAATTTGTCGTGGCATGTCTAAAATGGTTAAAATGTTTTGATTTTGTTTTTAAATTAAAATGTTAGCACACACACACACACACACACACACACACACACACAGAGAGAGAGAGAGAGAGAGAGAGAGAGAGAGAGAGATAGGAGTAGGAGAAACACATTATGATTTCTCACTTTATTGAAATTTTATATGAATATCGTTAAATGTGAAATTACATTACAAGAATAACATAGGACTCTGCATGTGACATATACTTACAGGAAATTATGTACAGATAAAACTCGAAAAAATCAATATCTAAAAAAAACACCCTATGAACAGTTGTTAAGCAAAACTCATAGCAGATAGATAATCAAATAAACTACTGACTCGTATATGATGAATGTAGACGAAACGCACGGCTGCCTGACTTTCTTCAGTCTACACCTCTCATCTGTTGCCCCTATACTTTATCTATTTTTCTTGCTTATTCAAATACTTCCTCGTTAAATAAAAATTAGACCTAGATCACCTTTTAGCGGAAACAGGCCTGAGTGCAATTTAAAAGGGGGTCTTTTCAACAACAAATCCTTCACAGGTAGGCGTCTTTAACAGGTAGGCTTATATATGATGACCCCGCCTTTTATTGCGAGACGCGAGTTCATGCATTCAAGTGAAGCCCTCCAGTGCAATACGACGAGAAATAAGGCAATAAAAGACTTCAAGGAGAAATTTTTCAACGGCGATTTTTAAATATATTGGGGCTATTACCCTTTATAGTGTCTTTGTATATCGGATAAGGACCATATATACATATATCTAGACCCAGAACAACTTGTACAAGAGTCAGGCATCGTAAATTATAAAATTATATTGAGAATAACACGACGCTTAGCCTCACCTGACTTTCTGCTTTGACTGATGTGACAAGGATTGTCCATAGAACGCTATAGCCCAGTGACCGGTGGCTTTGCCCCGTCATCTTCGTATACAGGGTGTATAGTATCACACACTCTATGGCTGGGGCAAAGTACTGGTGCTTGATTGATTAGACTCGGTCGTCGAAGGGGTGCTGATTTTTGTAGTGGTTACTCTGAAAATACTGGATTGTTAATGAATATAGAGTTATACACCTGGGAATTTTAAGGTCCGTTGAGAGACAGACTTAATCCTTAAATAGGTTCACATGAAAAAAAAAAAAACTCTTAGCTGTGACTGAGTCATCCCTTATCTATGATAAAGTTCAACTCATGACTACCAATCATACCACTCTATGCTCATATTCTTTAAATATTTTGTTTACGTTTAATCAGTGTAATGACCCAGTTCATCAGCGATTTAAAATACAAGAAAGAAAGATTGTCAGTAATAGAAATACAGTATATCATGGCCGTTATAACTAAGGCTATTCATTTTCAATGCATATTATAATAAACACGAAAACATTCAAAATTTAAAGAACTCCAAGTGATAATCAAACGCAGAAAATATTTCGACAGATAAATCCCAACACGTTTCCCATACAATACATGATAACAACAGCATTAAATCCCCCTTGTGAGATCTTTATTTACAGAATTACATTAAATTACTCGTCTCAGAAAAATTATTTATCCAGAAATGCCACTCAAGGTTTGTATAGTACAATGTATGGTTAGCTTAACTGAGAAATCCCCAGTCTGACAAATCCTACAAATAGGTTTCCAAATACCAGGCTGAGCGATACAATCACATACAGAACAACGGATCGATAACCAACGACTGACAACAATATATGGGGATATGCCAGATGTTCACTTGAGCGCCCTTGGTGGGTAGTACCTTCAATGCAGCAATAACATTAACGGGATGTACTATTGTGCGGCGCATCGCACTAAGTCCGTTTAGAATAATACATCGACATATCTTGCATGTCACTAAACTGGGGTTTAGTCATGTTTAGTGGGCCTACATTTGTTGGGAAAATCGATGGGGTTTAATTGACCTTTGCCCCCCTATGGGAAAATCTCATGTTAGTAATTTGTCTTAATGTGCTTCGACAATTTTACAATATATGATGCAATGCGTGCAAGGTATCTATGCTATATATTCTATTGTTATTATCAGTCTCGAATGAGGTGTTACATTGTATGTTTATATGGCCTCGATACCTGTGTCTCATAAACAGACTTCCAGCGTCACCAAGTATCCTGACCGTTAGCGAATATTCGTAGCTTTCCCATTCATCTTCAGTACCCTTTTCCTTCTTCGTTATCACAAGGAAAGAGATATCCACTTTCTTAGTCACCGCGCACCACTAGTTGCAATACATTATTGGAGTCTTTAAACCCGCATCCGTACACTTTCTTTCCTCCATCACAGGTAATGTGTAGAAACAGAGTGAGCATGCTGTGTTTATGAAAGCATTACAATCAAAATTCCTGGTTTCAGTTTTACTGCTGGTTGGCAGAGAACCCGTAAACACAGTGAAGAGAAACGACCATCTCCCGAATGTTAAATTTTGATACAAAGCTTGTCTGGATTCGTGGCGTGCCCCACCCCCATGCACCCCCCTCCCTCTAGCATACTAGAGGATATCACTGAGTTAATACTGGATATAGAGTACATTTTTTTACAATATATCATGCTGTTTTGTCCCATATCACACTTGTAAACGATTACTTGTACCTCATCGGCAATACACGGGAGACGCTATCTTTACCGTTCTGGTGGCTTACGGAAATGAAAGTAGCTGGCGTTTATAAATGGTGTCTATCGTTTTATGTGTTAGTACACGTACTTAGTGACTATCTCTCTAATTCGTACCCGCTTACCTGTCTACCTGTGTGTGTTGTGACACTCCAATGTCTGCTGCTACAATATTTTGAATTCCACAAAGTTGACTGATCAGTCTATGGCCGGCAGATATATATATATGAATCATCCGTCATGTTTAGAAAGTTGAAATTCCCCCATCTGATATCACGACATTGAAGGTCCTATATTTGTGTGCGGTTTTTACCTGGAAGCAACCGACCTGCCTCTTGTCTCGTCGTTTGTGACTAAGACTGCGTGCCACACGCGCCCTGTGTCACACGTTAATGTCACGGTGCTTAATGCCGTGTGTCCGTGAAACATCTGACCACACACTCGCGCGTTTCTGTCTCTTTTATGGCTGTCACTACTTAACTATCAGCCTGGGACGCGACCTCCGTCGTTGGCTACTTTATTAATCAACGCGAGACGCTAGATAAGATGCGTGTTAAACGTCTGAGAGACACAGGTCACAAGGCCTGCAAGGCGATCTCCGGTATTATATTATATCGGAGGTTTATTACAAGGTGTAAAAACAAGCGTCTTTTGACTGCACGTTCACTGTTCTGTTTGACAGGTAGCTGTAATGTGGTGGCTCCTTAAAGTACAGAAACAGATAGTCGCTGTCGTTTTAAATGTGTGGCACGCTGCTGTTTGTTGTACAATGTATGTAGGTCGACGCTTTCTGCTGGTAGCCTACGACACTCTTCACCGGCCAACTAGTGTCACCGAAGAAGAGAATATACTCCAGAGTCCTTCACTGGATCAACGCCCCTCACTTTGAACTTTGGTGACTATAAATAAGCCTACCTGAGCGTATTTGAAATGGAATGACGATTTAGGTCAAGTAAAGAATATAAAGCGAACAAATGTATTGTGCACGCTCTGACAGACATTAAGGCCTTTGTGGCGTAGGTGGCTGTTAACTTAACGTATTTTGTCAAAGCGCATATAGCGGAATTAAAGGCAGACTACTGGTTAAAAAGGCAGGCCCATAGCCAGGGGGTGGGGGTTCGGGGGGTTCGAAAGAACCGCCCCTTTTAGTGGGAAAAGGTCCACTCTGGGTAAAATTTGATCTAGGTTCATGAAGTTTTTATGGGAAAAGGTCCACTTTTTCAGAAAAAGACCCCCCCCCCCTTTTGTAATTGCCGGCTACAGGCCTGAAAAGGTATAACGCTATAAAGGTATAACGTTCCTTTTCTTTCTGAATAATCTAAATATATAAGGTCTTTTAGCGAGGCGCAGATATTAAGACTTTGGAAGCACAGGGCTTCCTTGATTAGATTTAATATAGCAGAGGTGAAAAACTACTTTTATGGGCTCACTTTGAGCTCACAAAACCATTTCAGACGATGTTCTATAACTGTTCACGGTACGTGTATTTGTAAATTGCAGCACTCTGCGAAGCAACTGCAAAACATACAGAATTGTCACCGCTTTTTGTTTAACATATTATTCAAAAATATAATCAAAAAATTGATGGGGAGGGGGAGGGGCTGAATTAAAAGTTGCGTCTTTTTGCGTCACGGGCCTGTAGGCCCTACACTGTAGGCCCCCCTACACAATAGGCGAATGTGTATGTGCCTCTACCGGTTGAATTATTAAAAGGACCTGCTGCTAATGAGATAAGAAATCCACATTGTACCCTGCAGATATATTGGTATATGGCAGTTTACACGGCCTTTTCTGTCTCATAATTTCTCTTAGCTGCGGCATACATGTAGGCCTACTTGTGAAAACCTTAGGGGGTTACACCCCAGTTTGCTGTAAGCCTGTTGTTAAAATATCCTAGATTAAAGAAAGCAAAGATGATGTAAGTGAAGAGTGTATAAGAGATATTCATATTACTTAGGGGGAAATGACACTATCATCAACAGTACTTAAAACAAAATAACACTTAGCCCGAGAATAGGAAAAATCGACGTGAAAATACCTATTTATAGTAAAGTGTAGTACGTCATACAGCTTTCCAGGTCACATGACCATGTCACATGATTCTCTGACCCGTAAACAAAATGGCAGGTAACAGGTTACCAGTTGAGGTAAGTTTCACAGGTCCGAAAACGCATTTTAAGCCGTTGTCATCTTCGCGATTGTAGTTTATTCTGGAGAAGGTGTATCCATGTGTTAATAAGACCACAAAAATAAACTTCAGGAAGTATGAGAAGATGTGGTGCGTTGAAAATGTGATGTCTCGAACTGTCAAAATATTTCTATCCCGAGTCACAAGACGCTTACACAACTGTGATGCACGTTGCAATGTACCAGTTTGGTCGCAATTTTGGCTTATTGATTTATAAAAAACACCCAATTATTTTTTACATCATTGTTGCTCTTTGAGATTTACCAGTAGCATACTGCCACCGGAATATAAATATATATATATATATATTCAAAAAGTATATATATATATTGNCGTTTTAAATGTGTGGCACGCTGCTGTTTGTTGTACAATGTATGTAGGTCGACGCTTTCTGCTGGTAGCCTACGACACTCTTCACCGGCCAACTAGTGTCACCGAAGAAGAGAATATACTCCAGAGTCCTTCACTGGATCAACGCCCCTCACTTTGAACTTTGGTGACTATAAATAAGCCTACCTGAGCGTATTTGAAATGGAATGACGATTTAGGTCAAGTAAAGAATATAAAGCGAACAAATGTATTGTGCACGCTCTGACAGACATTAAGGCCTTTGTGGCGTAGGTGGCTGTTAACTTAACGTATTTTGTCAAAGCGCATATAGCGGAATTAAAGGCAGACTACTGGTTAAAAAGGCAGGCCCATAGCCAGGGGGTGGGGGTTCGGGGGGTTCGAAAGAACCGCCCCTTTTAGTGGGAAAAGGTCCACTCTGGGTAAAATTTGATCTAGGTTCATGAAGTTTTTATGGGAAAAGGTCCACTTTTTCAGAAAAAGACCCCCCCCCCCTTTTGTAATTGCCGGCTACAGGCCTGAAAAGGTATAACGCTATAAAGGTATAACGTTCCTTTTCTTTCTGAATAATCTAAATATATAAGGTCTTTTAGCGAGGCGCAGATATTAAGACTTTGGAAGCACAGGGCTTCCTTGATTAGATTTAATATAGCAGAGGTGAAAAACTACTTTTATGGGCTCACTTTGAGCTCACAAAACCATTTCAGACGATGTTCTATAACTGTTCACGGTACGTGTATTTGTAAATTGCAGCACTCTGCGAAGCAACTGCAAAACATACAGAATTGTCACCGCTTTTTGTTTAACATATTATTCAAAAATATAATCAAAAAATTGATGGGGAGGGGGAGGGGCTGAATTAAAAGTTGCGTCTTTTTGCGTCACGGGCCTGTAGGCCCTACACTGTAGGCCCCCCTACACAATAGGCGAATGTGTATGTGCCTCTACCGGTTGAATTATTAAAAGGACCTGCTGCTAATGAGATAAGAAATCCACATTGTACCCTGCAGATATATTGGTATATGGCAGTTTACACGGCCTTTTCTGTCTCATAATTTCTCTTAGCTGCGGCATACATGTAGGCCTACTTGTGAAAACCTTAGGGGGTTACACCCCAGTTTGCTGTAAGCCTGTTGTTAAAATATCCTAGATTAAAGAAAGCAAAGATGATGTAAGTGAAGAGTGTATAAGAGATATTCATATTACTTAGGGGGAAATGACACTATCATCAACAGTACTTAAAACAAAATAACACTTAGCCCGAGAATAGGAAAAATCGACGTGAAAATACCTATTTATAGTAAAGTGTAGTACGTCATACAGCTTTCCAGGTCACATGACCATGTCACATGATTCTCTGACCCGTAAACAAAATGGCAGGTAACAGGTTACCAGTTGAGGTAAGTTTCACAGGTCCGAAAACGCATTTTAAGCCGTTGTCATCTTCGCGATTGTAGTTTATTCTGGAGAAGGTGTATCCATGTGTTAATAAGACCACAAAAATAAACTTCAGGAAGTATGAGAAGATGTGGTGCGTTGAAAATGTGATGTCTCGAACTGTCAAAATATTTCTATCCCGAGTCACAAGACGCTTACACAACTGTGATGCACGTTGCAATGTACCAGTTTGGTCGCAATTTTGGCTTATTGATTTATAAAAAACACCCAATTATTTTTTACATCATTGTTGCTCTTTGAGATTTACCAGTAGCATACTGCCACCGGAATATAAATATATATATATATATATTCAAAAAGTATATATATATATTGACTTTTTGAAAATATACTGGTAAATACGTTTTTAAAAATATTTAAAAATATCTTTATTATTTTCGACAGGTTATCACTCATATCATGAGGTTCCTAAGTGTCTCAGACCGTAAAGAAGCCTGCTTAGTGAACAAGATCTGGTATGAGGCCTACTCCGACCCTGTAATACAGAGAGATATTGTAGTAACATTCCACTCCCACAGCACATACTGTAAGGAACCTTTGTCAGGTCTGCGGAGACGTCAGACCCCAAATTTAGTCCTCAACGAGATAGATGACTCTAATAAATCCAAGGACATGATCCTTATGTCATGCCAGTATCTTAGTGAGAACTTGCAGAGCTTGTCACTAAAAGGCTGTGAGGTGAGTGTCGGGACTTTCATGACTTTCATCAACCAGTGCTGCACCCTGGTGAGCTTAGATCTCAGTTGCTGTAATAACTTGTTCATGACAGGCACCCTGCTCCAGAATGCGGAAGAAAGGGAGAAACTGCAGAAAGTTTTAGAAAATGTGCGATATTTGAACTTGAGCGGGATACGCTTCCTCTCTGATGTTACCTTCAACAGAATGGTAGAGGTGTGCTGCAACATCGAGTCCCTCTCCCTGGCATCTTCGCGCATCACATTCAACTCAGACCCTTACAAGAGAAACACCGCACATGGCCCCAGTGCATCCTTGCTCACTTTTGAAAACATTATGAAATTCATCGAGGACAACAGCAATAAGATCAATGCTCTAGACTTCAGCCGCACCTCCATCAATGACGAGGCACTCCTAACAGTGGCCAGCACAAAGGGTCTTAAACTTCAGAGACTTGTCCTCCACACTTGCAGAGAGCTGGGATCCGAAGGAGTCGTGGATCTCTGTAAGACACAAAAAGACTTGGAACACTTGGACTTGGCTGAGTGCTTTGAAGTGGGAAACCAGGGGGCTGGTGCCATCATGAGGAACCTATCGCTGTTAAAATTCCTCAGGCTTGAGAAGTGCAGGTATGTCACTGACGAGGCCGTGAAAGGGTTACACCAGTTACATAACCTCGTCCACCTCGACCTTTCTGCTTGCCATCAGGTCACCTCCAAGGGGTTAATCCGAGGGATCTGTGAGAAACCCCCTCACCCTGCTCACCCACCTCAACCTGAACTGCTGCAGTTACGTCAATGACAGTTTTGTGTTGGAGGCGTGCAGGGCTCTCCCTCAGCTCGTCCACCTGGATCTGGGCTCCTGTTTCCCCTGTCAGTGATGTTGGCGTGAATGGGATAGCCAAGCACCTTCCTGCCCTTCGTTTTCTGAGATTAGCCTGGTGTAAGAAGATGACTGATTACGGATTGACGGGTCTCATCGAGGAGGTGCCCCCAGAGCACCATGAACATGACGCCGAGGGGCAGTGCAAATGTACCAGGAAGGCGAACGTTTCAAATATCTTCAACCCACCTAAGGACCCACACACACTGGAAAACGGCCTCCTCAAGCTTTCGGTTGAGCGCACTGCTGATAAATTGAGATCTGGAACTGTTACTCCTCTTTCTAACCTCAAGGCTCTTCGATCCCTGGACATTAGCAACTGCCCTCAGGTGACAGACACAGGGTTGGTGACTGCCATTAAATTCCAAGAGTTGAAGTCTCTGAATCTTAGCTTCTGTCCCGATCTCACTGACGCCACGCTGAAGTCCGTTGCCAAACACAACCCGAGCCTGGAGTCCGTCTGTCTCAGTCGATGCAACCAGATAACTGATGCAGGCATCATGGGAATTGGTGCTCGCCTACAGCGTCTCTCCTCCCTGGAGATTTCCGGCTGCGATAAATTAACAGATATTAGTCTTCAGGCCCTGGGAAAGAATTGTCATCGCCTCAAGACGCTGGATGTGTCCTACTGTAGTGGCATGACAGTCAGTGGTGTGAGCCAGTTGGAAGCCAGGCTCAAGACTTTGGTCTCTGTGAAGAAAGCGTGTGTAGGTGCTGTAGGAGATACTACAAGGCTGTTTTTACGCCATTGAAATAGTTCATCGTGAATTTTAAAGTAAGATTGAGGTAATTCTATTTCTTTTAACCAATTCACACTATTTTCATTGAATTGATGATGAATTGGAGGAATTGGTTCACTAAATTTCATATTGAATTTCTTAAGCCAAATTATATTATCTTATTATAAGCATTTGATAAATGAACAAAATGGTAGTTGGATCAGAAAAATTTTTGTTTTGTGTTTGATAATTTTTATTTATCATTTGAGAAATGTTTGTTATGCCAGTAAAAGTTTGAACCTTATATGTGTTCATTGTTGGCTACTCAGAAAGACGTGGTTTGACATGAAAAAGGAGGGGGGGAGGGTGATTGAGAGGAAAAATGTATTATTTTTTGTTTTCTGAAACATGTGTTATACCCCTGGTAGGGGTGGAGGTATTATGATTAGCTAATAATGATATTGATGTTTGTCACCTTGACTAATTTAAAGAAGTTTGCTCGAAAAAACTCTGGACCTTTTGAGAGATTTGCTTACTCCCATCCTTCATCCTTTCAACATCCCAGCACCTAAATGTGATATTCAGGAGTGTATTTCTTACTAATATATGTGATAAATTTTGTGTGGTGTTCTATATTATTGGTATAAAAGGTATAATAAATATCTGTGCACATGTATGTATATGTTAAATAAAAATTGGTCATTCCCATTGCTGTGATACTAACTTAAATTGAAAAGTAGATGTAAAGTCGCATATGTATACATGGTAAGGTGGATTCAGACAGAGATGGACTGAACCAGCATAGGTCTGAATGACGTCAACATGGTGCTTGCTATAGACTTCCCAGGGAGCACTGACCTGGGTGAATATTGGGAGGACTCAGTCGGGTTGAAATCTTGTGTTACTGTCCTTGTCTGAGGACACCACAGTTAGGGGCCACATTGTTTGACTGGCTCTATAAACTAATGTTATGTTGTTTGATACTTATAGTATCAATACATGTTTAGTGAAGAAATTGCTAGCCAAAGAAAGTTTTTGTATATAGTACAAAATGTAGATATATACAATAATGACTTGATATTTTCAATGGGCAAAAATGATCAAACTTTCAGATATATCAGTTTAAAATCATAAAAATTATATTTTGTATAGCATTTGTGGTGCTTTTAATGTATAGAAAGGAACTATAAGGTTGTCTGCTTTTCAATTTTGTTGCAACCACTCGATAGGAATGCTTTTATTTTAAGAAATATGACTTAAAAAATACAGTTTCTGTAAAATTCACAATTTTTTCCCCATTGAAAAGATTGAGTCATTACCGTACATTAAGATGTTAAGGAGCATAAGATTAAATCAAAGCAAAATAGCTGTAAACATAAAATATTAAGTGTATATATTTATTTATTGTATTGTATTTTTAAAGCACTCGTTGCCATTTTGTGTTTTTTTTCCATAGAATGTTATAATTGTAGATCAGTACATGTTTGTTTGCAAAGGAGCAAAGATGAAACGGTTTGTAATTTTCTGAAGTACGTTTTATTTCGTTTCTTGTTGTGTGGGACAAAACAAAGCCTTCATGGCTTCTGATACTGAGATCTGCAAGTAAATGTGATAGCACTGAACTGTGATATTTCATGGCTGCCATAATAACTACAATAATAATAATAATAATAATAATAATAATAGTGCCTTATGTCTGCCTTTTACTATAGTACTGATATTATTAGTGCATCATACTAGTTTGTTTGATTACTATAGAATAAAGGTTAAGTTGGACCAAACTATCTGACATACTCATACAGTAGTATAATGTAGCAAGAAGTGTATTACTGCCCCAAGGAGAATCCTCATACATGGACATGATCCCAGCGCACAATGAACATTTAATTTATTAAACTTGAAGCCAGGATTGAACGGCTGTGGTAAAGCAAAGGTAATAATTGTACTTAATAAAGGGTCTGTACATGTAGCCATCACCTGCGTCTGTCTTCACTGTTGCCATCATCCTCGTCGCCATGCACTTTCAGTCATAGCACAATAAGTGGAAAAATGTTTCACCTTTTGTCTTCAAACTTAGGGAACTGATGAATATTCACGAAATGCAGGTCAAGCTTGAAAATCAGCATGATCGGGCCATTTTTTCAAAAGTTATTATTATTTTTTTGTCTTTTTTCAGCATATATGCAATACTGTTAACATATTTCAAGCAAAACCAATAGGCCTATTGTTTTGAAACTCACAGGAATGATCAATCCTACTGAAATACAGATTGAGTTTGAAAGTCAGCTTGATCTGCCCATTTTTTTTTTTTTTTTTTTTTTTTTGGCATATTGTATCCACTGTTATACAGATCACATGAAAACCGTGTCATATTTTGCTTTTAATTATGCAGGACTGATTCTTAGGACTAATATACAGATCAAGTTCAAAAATTATTTTGATCGGTTTAGTTGATGAATTAATGCCTTTTCTGTAAATAAATGGATTTTCCTCAGATTCAATTACTAGGCATGTTAACAGTCAGGCCTACCCAACTACCAGACTCGGCACCGAATGATCCAGAATTCACCGGTAAATCGGACCACACTACCCGTTTTCAAGGTGTGTATCAGATCGCATTACATAGTATCAGACGTGACACCGCTCTTGCCTAGTACGCGACGTGATAGTGACGATTATCAGTGGGGTTGAAAAACATTGCATCACCACTCAAAATTTGTTCAGGGTATGATACTGTGTAATACGATCTGATACACACCTTGAAAACGGGTAGTGTGGTCTGATCTACCGGTGAATTCTGGATCATTCGGTGCCGAGTTGGGTAGGCCTGACAGTCTCATTATTAAACTAATTAGATATGTAAAAGTGTTTTTTTTACATTATCTGCATCTTAACAATATATATAACATCAGTTGCTGGTTTAGGCCCTTGTTCTTCATCGACCCCAAGGATACATATGTTGCTTGCCTTCTTCATGGTAGAACAGCATTTCCTTTTTTTTTCCAGTTTTCTGGTGAGAGAAAAAAAGTGATCATATGGTAATCAAGCAGTGTGCATCAGGTCATCCTTTTCTTCTGTCTTCAAAAGTGCGAAATGCATTTTAGGAACTGTTTCTTGAAAAATGATTGCTTGTTAACTAACTTTTGTTAGCTAAAAGAAAAATATCTTCTATCAGAAAAAAATAATATTAAGAAAAAAGCACACCTTGCCAAATATGCATATAATAATAATAATAATTTATTGAGCACAGAAATGTTTTTACATTTAAAGGCTCTATAAATACTATGTACGAAATTTATAGGGAAATAGTTATAGTAGTAAATGAATGAGAAAAATAAATATAGTGTTATACAATATGCATTATAAAAATATACAAGTAAAATGGATGAGATTCTTAATGCGTTCACAGGTAACATTCGCTTTGGGGTCTCCATATGTAGGGAGTCACGGCTACCCAAGTGAAAATGAGTCTTTGAAAAAAGTCAACGTTGTTTCTGAAAAAGATAACATTTTACCATGAAACCTTCTTGTATGTAGATAAAATTTTACCCAGAAGGGGCCTTTTCCCAGCAAAAAGTTTGTTTTTTTTTTCAAAAACCCGAACCCCCCACCCTACGTCCCTTGTCGTCAAGCCCAGGCAGTGGAAAAAAAACCTGATTCAAGAGATTGGTAAAAAATGGAAACTGTGTTCAATAAGCTCATTCTAGTTTATGATGAAATTCAAAATTTAAAACTGAAAGGAGATAGTTTGAGCTAACAAATTATATCATAAATTTGCGACAGTCATAGATGTTTTTAAAGTAATGTGTAGGCCTATTTCAAATACCAAGCAAAAAAAAAAAAAAAAAAAAAAAACGTGGCCCTATACTTATGATGGGGTCAAGAAATGGAGAATGATACTGGTCCTTTCTTAATCCAGAATAATTTATATTAAATATGTAGGTAAAGTAAGTGGTATTTCTGCACAATGTGAGGAAAAAAATTAGTTTTTCACCACTACGATTTGAGGGAGGAGGGGGGGGGCAAGTCATATCGCTCACAGGGCATTAAAATTAGTGTCTAGTTTCTACTTTTGTTTTTCAAAAACGCACCTGGTAACTAGAAGATAGTTTTGTATTTCAAAAACGGTTCTGGCAACCAGAAACTGGTGTTCTTTGGGGCGCTGTAAGTTAGTGTCTAGTTTCTAGTTTCCAGTTTCATTTTCCAAAGATGAACCTGGCAACCAGAATCGAGTGTCGTTTTTCAAAAATGAACCTGGCAACTAGAAACTAGTTTCGTTTTTCAAAAATTGATTCTCGCAACCAGAGACTAGTGTTGTTTTTCAGAAACGATTCTGACACTGAGAAACTAGAATCGCTTTTGTGGTAGGAGACGAGACTGAACAGAGGAAGAAGCGTCAGGTAGCCGTCACCGCGGAAGCTGTGCTGAATATTTTGGTCCCTCCCCACCGTGCGGTGAGGCCGAGACGACCTCCGATCAGTGGCTACGAATCAAGGAAGCCTTCACCGCGAAAGCCATGCTGAATATTACGATCTCTCTCCGCCGTGCGGGGAGGCCGAAATGCGATTGAATATCCTAGGCCGATTTTGATAGTCTACATGTTCATGTATCTATGCACTTTCCTTTTATCCAATTCTATTCTGATAATGGGTTTGTTTATTTTTTCATTACATTTTTACATTATGGTAGACTGGTGTAGTATTTTAAAGCCGTTTTACATGGATTTTAGATTCATATTATTAACAGATCAGAAATGAACTCTGACCGTTCAGTTTGTAGATAACATGTACTGTTGGTTTTATTTGCATAAATGGCTTTAACTTTATTTGTATATATATCATTTCACATTGCATTATTATCGCCGTTTCTGTGATGCTGAAGTTAAGCACACACAAGCGCGTGCGCGCACACATACACACACTGAAACAATCTGCTAAGCTACCGATTGCAGCAGAGAAGATCATTTCTGTTCCCCTTCAGATGGCGCTATAGGACAGTTTGGTTCGTCAAACCTGGCAAAAACTGCTCAGATTGCAGACCATATAAGGATACATAGTGCCATTTTACTTTGGGGTGTGTAAGGGTCTGAAATTTAATTAAATTAATTTAATCAAGTGTATTTTGAAACACGCAGGTAGGAAAAGCTTACTGTGCGTTGCTATTTTAGTACATTGTTCATCAAATTTTGTCTGTCAAACTAAGGTAATTGATAAATAGAAAGGGTGGTCACCAAGCTCTTCCTGCCTCCTACCCCGATGGATCATTTGAAACCTGAACCCTTGAAAGAGATGTCACTTCT